TGGGCTAGCTAACCAATCAGAGCCCATCGCCTATTTCTGAGGGCGGGGCTTCATAAAAGCAGGAAATAATCAGCGCATTTCTCAGAGAAGGGACAGAGCGGTGTGGAATAAAGGTAAATTATGTAAAAATAAATAAATAAATAAATAAATAAAAATCTTTTTTTTTTTTTTTTTAAATGAAGCATTAACATGTTAGACTGCACCCCATAAACACAATCAAGCCTAGAAAAAAAACAGTGAACCACCCCTTTAAAGCACCCAATAATGAAGTGCAACAGATATTTTACTTGTCTAAAGCATATAAAGTGGAAAAAAAGCCTAGTCTTAATCAACGGTAGCCACTGACTTGCATTTTATGAATCACCAAGGACCATGGTTTCAGCTAAAAAAATCTTCTTTACTGTTCTACTGAAGAAAAAAAAGTCACCTACATCTTGGATGGCCTGATGGTAAGTAAATTAACAGCAAATGTTAATTTTTGGGTGAATTATTATTTTAAGACTTCGTTTCTAATGCATACACTTACATCGTGGTTGTGCTCCATTCAGCTGAACGGAGCATATGTATATAATTTTCCGGAATGCTCTAATTTACTCAAGTTATCGACTATATAAAATATTGTTTTTATAGAGTTTTTGAAAACTGGTACATATTTTCTTGTGTTTTACAGTAAAATTCAAAACGGCAAAATTCAAAACACTACACGTATTAATCAAAATAAATTGTGACATTTCTGCTGCTGTTTTTGTGCTGTAAAATTTCTTCAGTTTTGTTGCAAAACCAAATTCCTTCTGGTGGCTGTTGAATTTCTTTAAATTCCTTTCACTAGACATTCCAAATAAAATTAATTTATGAATTAAAAAAAAAGAAAGTTCTTAAATTTTGCCTGACACACAATTCAATTCAAGTTTATTTGTATAGTGCTTTTCACGATACCAATCATTGCAAAGCAGCTTTACAGAAAATATTAAGTTTCTACATTACATTTAGGAATAGGTTATTAGTGGTGACTATGGCAGAAATTTACAGTACGAATCATGCAGTTAGTTACAAATTACACGTAATAAAACAGATGGTGAACACTATTAACTGCTATGACTACATGTTGCGATTAAACGTTGCGATTAAACTAAATTTGGTAGTTTTACATGTTGTTCCACACACACACACACACACACACACACACGCACGCACACACGCAGACACGCACACACGCAGACACGCACACACGCACGCACTCATGCACGCACGCACGCACGCGCACACACTCACTCACTCACGCACGCACGCACAAAATTTTACCTGAATCCAGGAATCGTCTTGGCAAAGCCGATGACCTTCTGAATGCTGTAGGAAACCAGGTCAGCCAGGTGAGGAAGCATGGAAAGACTAGTGCCCTCATCCTCCTTTGAGTCTGGACTGGAGCTCAAACCCTGCTCCTGATACATCATCAACAAACTGCTCAGATTCATCTTACGATCTCCAGACTCTACAGATGTAAAAAGAGAGGGAGAGAAAGAGAAAGTAAGAACAAAACAGATGAATGCTTCCGAAATCCAAACAGATGCCAACAAAAGTGATAATTCTTTGATTTTACTGCAGTTCTTTGCATTGAATGAAATTTATTATTATTTTTGTGGTGGGCAAGTGAAAATGCTGGTAAGGCAAGTAAAAATCTGAATCAATGGCTCAGAAAAAAAGAGACAATATTTTTGAGACACTGGCCGATAACTGTGTCCACTTTAACAGAAGCTTTATCTCCTCCTTGTGTCTGTTTCAAAATCTGCCAACAGCCTTATATTATACAGCCAGACAACAAATAACTTGTTTTTAATATTTTTGTGAATTGTAAGAAAATATTGTGGCAAAAAAAAAAAAAAGAGTTAATTTCAGCAATTTTGTGTACATTAAATTTGCTATCATGTATTATGACTGCGCAATTATGGGGGAAATCAATGTTGTTGATTATTTTTCTTGATATTGTAACTGAATTTATTTGGATTTTTCTTCATTTCAAATTTTAAATAAATGCTAACTACAGCTTGCACTAGAATTACTGTGCATGTTTACACCGGTACATGTGACTGGTTGAGCCCGCAGCTCAACACAACCTCACTGACTGTCAGCGTACTGTGTTCTGCACTCTGCAAACACCTTCATAACAATAAACAAAGCTGTCAACATAGCAGAATAAATCTCTTATTTACACTTTGCCTAAAAAGCAAACAATGTCAAGATATTAGAACAACTGCAAAACAATACATTTTCATACAAAGCGAGTAGACATTAATGTAATGCTGTAATCAACACTTTTCAAGATTAATTAAATAAGCAGCAGTCAGAAAATTAATCTGTTTTTTAATCAAATTTATTTTAAAAATCCAGAAAAATACTCATAGTGTGTGCTGTAAGATTATGGTCATACCACCCACCCCTAGTACAGAGTTTATAATACATGTCATATTTAAAGTTACAAAAACAACTTTCTGCTTCCAGGATGAGCCATATGTGTGTGTGCATGTGCATGTGTGTGTGTGTGTACGCGCGCGTGTGTGGACGCATGTGAATAGTCTGTTTGTCATTAGAGAGGCTCTCCTGTGACGTCAAGCATGGTGAGATGGACGGAGCCTGCTGTGCATTTAAGACACACAACCCCCTAACACACACGCCTGTCCGCGCCTCACACTGGGCTGAAAAACATTTCTCAGAAGAAACCTTACAGGTGATTTATGCACAAACGAGTGTTTGTGTGCATTAGTTCAGCATGTATACACGTGTGTGTGTCACCTGGAGAATGGCTGAAGGAGTCTGAGGAGGCATCTGATAGTGAATGAAGAGATGCGGCTCGGCTGGCACTGCGTGTAACTGGACCCTCTCGAACTGGAGGCTGCAACACAAAACACACATAAACCTATGAACACACTGAAAAAATTTGCAAAGTATGCCTAAGAAAGACAGAAAAAGTGGACCCAAAAAGTATTTGAAAAATTAAAAATGTAGGAATGTCTCTGCATTATATAACGAATTATCAAAACAACAGGATTTACTTGATATATAGCAAACATTTGTAATATCATATATACACCTCCGTTCAAAAGATTTCACAGGGATTAGTACAATGTTTTTTTTATTTTGAAGGAAATCAATACTGTGATTCATCAAAAGTGGAAAATGCTGTTCTTTTGAACTTCCTATTCATCAAAGAATTCTTGAAAAATTGTATCATGGTTTCCACAAAACTGTTTTCAACATTGATAATAATAAGAAATGTTTCATGATCACCAAATCAGCATTTTAGAATGATTTCAAAGTCAAAGTCACTTTTATTGTCACATCACCACAGCACATGTGCCTTGGTGAGTGAAATTCTTGGAAATTCTTTCTGAAGGACCATGCGACACTGAAGACTGAAGTAATGGCTGCTGAAAATTTATCTTAGACATCATATGAATAAATTACATTTTATATATTAAATATATTAAAATATTAATCAGTAATTTTAAATTGTAATAATATTGTCACAATATTACTGTTCTTACTGTATTTCTAATCAAATAAATACAGCCTTGGTGAGCTTTTGAGACTTCTTTCAAACCATTTTTTAAAAGACAAAAATCCAAACCCAAACATTTGAACAGTAGTGTAGTGATCACTTAAAATAATTTTCACACCAGTTGGTTGAGAACTGTTAGTTCTGAGAAAAGCTCTAGAATCATTTATTTACAGATGCCTCTTGGTTTAAAACTGAATGCAGGCAACATTATGTGTCACTGAAGTGCCCAAAAGCTCATTAGGCTCACTGTACAAGAACATTTAAAAGTGTCCCTATTATGGGTAATGAAAGTAAATTTTTTGGTTTTGGGAGTCCCCAACAACAGGCTGACATGCATTCAAGGTCAAAAAATACTTTCATTGTCTTATAATATGCATTTATTTTTACCTTACTTGCTCAATGACTCCCAAACGATTAGCTCAACGATTCATTTTTCCAAACCCCTCCTTTGCGTGACGCTAATCTGCAGTGATTGGTCCGATTGGTCTCATTTTCATTTCATCATGCCTGATAAAGCAGCGTTTGTGAGCGCAGTGCTGCTTTGTGTACACTGTGTTACCGGGGAAACAGCTATTTTATTTTGCTATAAAAGCAGCACCTAGTGGCAAAGAATGAATTTGCATTTTCATTCTGACCAACCCGAAAAGACCAACAAGTGAGCGGGCAATATGCTAATGTTTCATGTTGACGTCAACATGAAACGGCTTGGGATTTGTTTTAAAAATGACTTGTTTCAAAGATTCAGAGTCAACTCTTTCTTTTGAGAGACAATAACTTTACACGGTGCACTTTCAGATTTAAAACTTTGCAGGATGTTTTCATTCACTTAGAGCTGTGTTACACACTGCATGAAAGGTAATTTTCAAAAATCCATAATAGGGGCACGTTAAAACTGGCTGAAACTAAGAGAATGGCATACAGAAGAGAGGAAGAGAATGGAGAAAAATCAGATGAATATTTTACTCTGAAGCGTGAGAAGTCAGAGTAGGAATCGTCATAGGTTTTGTGATGTGCATCCACGAGCGTATCAATGATGCTGCGCTGCTCCTCTGAAAGCCGGGGCTTCTGCGCCTCCCTCTGCGCCTCCTCATCCTTTCTCCTCTGGATCAGCTCCTTTTTCCTCTGAACTTCCTCATCCGTCAGTATAACTGAAGGAAAAAGACAGATGAGCATCATTACTGTGCTCATGTAATATAATTTTATTACAGGTAAAATACAGATTAAAAAATGAGAAACTTATATTGTATGTTGTTCTCCAGTGTTATATTACGACCATAATTCATTATAATTTACTTTAGTATCGTTCAATAGAGTTTAATCAATAGCTTTAATTTAATTCAGTCTCACAGAAACTGACAAGGGGGAGAACAATTCCATCAGACCATTTATACTTGTAGAAATACTTGAAAAAATTGAACCACATTATCTCAATATCTTTTTTCTAAAACAGCTAAATCATCTGGATATTTCTCTTCCATTTCCCCCACTAATCTAAGGATTACTATTATTAATTTTCAGACTATCTATATAAAAATGATTAAACTATTTATTTTTAGGGTTAAAGCAATATTCAGGTTTATTGCTATTACGATTGTTGGGGTCAGTAAAACATTTGCATCAAATATTGCCGTTTTATGACTCTGCATGCAATGCTTATTAAAAAAAAACAACAACGTGATAACATACAAGCTATATTTTCCGCTGATGATTCTTCAAACACGAGAGCAATCATTGTGAAATCCATAATCTGAAGTACCTTTCACTTTCCAAATGATTCGCAAAGAGCTGCCACTCAGGATCATGTGCTCACAAACTACTTCCTTATACTAAGTATTACTTTTCTAACAGCCTTTCGGGACCTTTTGTGACCGGATCATCTTACTTGCTTTTGTTTGGAACAACCTAACAAACAGCATAGCATTCCTGCAAGACCGCAAAAATGACATTTGGAAGCTTTTGACACTGCAGGGTAAATAAAATTTAAACTATAATTAAACGTGATGTAACAAAGTATATCTTGGCTCCCAGTAATCAGTGTTCTGAGATGTGTCATGCTGGCTAGTAACTCACACTCTTTCATCATGCCAATATCCAGGCAACGCTTGAGTCTGCAGGCCTGGCAGTGGCGACGGTTATCTTTAGTGATGGTGCAGCTTCCATTAAAAGGACAGGTAAAACTGGCCTTCCGCTTCATACTGCGCCTAATGAACACACACACGAAAACACTAAAAATACTCTGGCAGTATCACACTGGTTACAGATAATATGTGTTAATGTGTTTCTTAATGAACATCGGTGTAACTGTGTGAATACCAAATTGGATAAGAGAAAGGGTGTGTGTACCTGAAGAAGCCTTTGCAGCCCTCGCAGGTCATCGCATTAAAGTGAAAGCCAGTGGCTTTGTCTCCACACACACCACAGATCCGTGGAACATTACGGTCAAACTCATCTGGCACTTGAGTGGATGTACTAACGGCTGACTCCATCACTATAGGAGACGGAGGAGGAGGAGGAGAAACAGTCAAACATACAGAGTTGTGCATTTACGAGGATGATGGAAAGGAGAATACAGATTGCACTATTGCAATTTTAAAAGAACTGTCTTCTAATTAAATATATTTAATTTATTCCTGAGATGACAAAACTGAAGCTACTCTAGTCTTCAGTGTAGCATGATCCTTCTGAAACCATTCTAATATGCAGATTTGGTGCTCAAAACAAGAGTTGATAATGATAAATATCATAACTTGCTTTTTATTATTCTGTGGAAAACGTGATACACTACCATTCAAAAGTTTGGGATAAGGAAGATTTAAAACAAAAACATACATTTTAAATAATATTTTTTTAAAAAGTCACAAAAGATTTCTTATTCAAATAAATGCTGTTCTTTCAAGGTTTTTATTCATCAAAGAACCCTGAAAAATATCAAGTGTCACTTTTTCCACATAAATTTTGGCCAGCAAAACAAGTTTTCAACCTTGATAATAAGAACCATTATTAAAATAATTGAGCATCAATAATAACTGATAAAACAGAGTATCAAATCAGAATATTAGAATGATTTCTGAAGGATCATGTGACACTGTGGTAATGGCTGCTAAAAATTGCAAAATTAATAATCAAAGGAATAAATTACATTTTAAACACATTAAAATATAAAACAGATATTTTAAATTGTAATATTTTAGAATATTAACATTTTGACTGAATTTTGATTAAATACATGCAGCCTTGCTGAGCATAAGAGACTTCTTTCATAAACATGACAAGATTTTAATTATTATAAACTTTTGACCGGTAGTTTATGTAAGGCAGAAAAAAGACAGAAACAAAAGGAAATGTCCTCTTTCTTCAGCACAGACTGACAGCATAACAAAACCACAAATCATAACTGACATTCTTTAGCAAGTGTTGAATAATTAACAATCCTTTAATAGAACAATAAATCATTCTGATTAAAGCCATGAGGCCAGTATCACAAACTGAATGGGGGAAAAAACAGAGTTCGTTATATAAGCATCACTAATGTATGCGCATTGATAAAGAGCGTACGAGATAGAGGGGAATTAATTAGCTATCAGTGCTACACCATTGAGGAAGGGCAGGAGGATTAGAGTGGTTGTAGGAGACTGTGCAAATGAAAACAAACAGATGTCAGCTTCAATCTCTCCATCAGTTTTTTTAAACAAATATAAAATAAAAAGAACAAGGTCAGCAAACACATAAACATAAAATCATTACAGACCCACTGAACAACCCATGAGGAACAGCAGCTATGCTGAAATGAGTCAGAGGTCAAAGTGACACACCAACTCAAACAGCTAAAAAGCATCAGGTGATAAGAACATTGTCACAATAAATGTGTGTACGATAACAGCACGCGATTAACTCTTCAAACTTATCACTGTCGTAATACATGGGATCAGCAATAAAGTGGAGATCTATGTGAAAGGTCGCAAGGACATCACGACTCGGTGTATACAAACAGGAACAGCGCAAACCAAATAAACATACTTCGGCGTAGAGGGTGATGTCACAGTTTTCACTCAGTAAGTTATGAGGAAATTCCTACTTTGAGGTAAAAAAATGCCTTTTTGAGAGCTCTTCGCTATAAACAGAATATTTCGGCTGGAAAATATGCTAAAAGCTTCATATATGGCAAGTTTACCTACTTAAATACTAGTTCAGTTCTACACACACACACACACGACATGGCCTCTTCAAGAGAAAGTTCTCAAATTACTCTAACGCACACAGAAAACTCACACTAATAAAACTATTTCAAAACACTTCAGCACATAATGATGCATTTATCTAAACTGGACTGTTCATTTATTCATCTATTCAAAATGTGTGAAACATTTGCAATCCCAGTTTGTGAAGATTTAGTTGGCAGTCAGCCACAAACATGGCACTACTTATGTGCATATTTTTGAAGGTAACCTGCAGATGGACGTTGTTATTTTTCTTGGCATATCCAGTAATGATAATGATTGTTTTTGCTTGTCAATATCCATTCCAGACAGATTCAGAAAGGAGGACGGACGTAAGTCATAATAATAAATGTGGGGCCTGTCTGTGTGACGTCACACAGACAGACATCTGAGATCGGCTCGATTTGTGAAAGGGGAAAACATTTAACCAGATTAATAAAAAAAAACACTGGGTGGATTTTTATCATTATAGGGTGGTTGTGTACACACACTGCCAACACACATTTCAGTTCAAACAACTTGTAAAAGTGCATGTAGCGTCCTATGACCCCTTTAAAATTATTAAATAAACGATTACAAAAAGTGTTTTAATAAAATGAATGTGAACTTTCAAGTATTGGCACAAACAAACTGTTTAAATGCATCTGTCATTGCATAAGAAAATATAAAACAGAACAGACTGGTACTTTTTTCAAATAAAATAATGCAATTCATATACTTTTAGGTTATTTTAACTTCATACATGCTTACACAAGCATTCACATTCAGTGCACTCAAGTGCAGGAAAAAGTAATTGTGTTTCATTATTCTGGATTGTACCTAATTTCTCAACAGCCTGTGGGAAAAAAAAATCTTTTAAATAATAAAGCAGACTTAGTGAAGTGAGCTGTAGCTATGAGTGATTAGCCTGGCTATACAATATAGTCCTCATCAACTAATATTATGAGCAATGCTCCGTATTACACTCAGTAATCTAAAATGAACTTAACATTTAAAGTCCAATACATTGATTTAACAAAAAGACTGAAGGTTAGAAGAACTGATCGATTTAATATGACTATTTTCCTGCTAATAATATAATGTTTAAAGACTAAAACCACTCATTCTAAAAGCAATTGTTGGGTAAATTTAGTCCTTGCTTTCACAAGTCTCCAAAATCATTAACGGTGTGTGCACATTGAGAATTTGGACTGTGCACATCACATCTCCACTATTCGCACTTACTTCAGTATATGGCTCTTGTTATCAACGCACACATAGCATGCAGGAGATAAGAGACTTTCAGAAAATGTTAAATGTGTCTTAATTTGCCGGTCAGGTTAATGTTTCATCTGATGCCACATAGCATCTAGGTAATCTGAGAACACCTGGGATATTTTAGATCCGGACATGTGAAGACGGCATGACTGACACTTTGACTGCGACCTCACTATATGTACGATCGTGATGCCCTTTAAGGTAGTTCAGAGTTAATGATTGAACTGACTGAAGCATCACATAGCACTAACAAGTATGTAGGACAAGGTGTACGAGAAAGACTGTCCCTCTTCAGCAGAATGACCTGGATGTGAGTGCAATGGCCTGTTTATCATATAAAAGTACATGAGGTACCACATGACTAAAGTGGAGAAGATCGCCTTCGAAGAAACATGCACGATCGTTATCTTTTAATCGAAATTGAAAACGGTTTGAAAATATGGTGAGAATTGACTTTGACCTCATCTTCGAAAACAAATTCAGAGAGCAAAGTCATTGTTGATAACCACAGATTAGCATATTCCATACCATATTACCAGTGGTTATTGTGTAACATACAGTGCTCATGTTATATAATAACTCTATAACATGTAGCTATGGTGATACTTCAATCGACATGCGTAGCTATGGTTCCTTTGCAATAAATACTTCTAGAAGCTGCATAATGCTAGTGTGTCAACTAGTGTGACATTTAGGCATAGTTAGGTCATAAATGTAAGTAAACACAGAGAAAAGCGCCCCAGCCCTTGAAGCTGAGGCTGAGGGGCGCCTGTGTGCAGGACAGGACAGAGATGCTGTCAGGGTTTCATAAACCTCCATTAGCTATGACAACAGACAGAGACAGACTCACACGGCAGGAATGCCAGGCCTGGCATGGAGACCATGTGGAAAACACATACATACTAAAGCCCTGTAGAAATGTTCTTGCACTTGGAGCGACACGGCAAACTGGCTTTGACGGCTATAATGGCATAACGATCAGCAGGCCCATAAAAAACATAAAAACAGACAGAGACTTCGAGACAAACTGTCCTACACATTTCCTCCACACACACACATCCCAAGGAAATATGTGTGTATGTGTAATGCGCAGAGCCAGTTGGGTCAGTTCGGGTCCAGAAGACAGAAACTGCTCTTGTCCTCACATGAACCCTACTGGAAACACAGTGCCAGATTATAACACTGCCACACACTCACACACACAAAGTCTCTCTCTCTCACACACACACACACACACAATTCCACAAGTACACCACACAAATACAAACTAAAACTCGTGCCAAGCAACACTCTATGAGGACATGGTAAAGTCATTTTTCTGTCGGATTCTTTCAGAGATTTCCATTTGAACAGGGTAAAAACATATACACGTTACGTGAATGTATAAGTCATTGTTTATGCTAGATGTTTAACCACAGGCAGCATTTACATTAACATACCCCTCAGGAGACGGAACAGCCGATATATGCGTTAAAATCAAGCTGGTTTAGATTTAACCCTATGAAATGTGGTAATCCTGAGGAGAAGCACAAATTCAATCCATGTAGGCCAACATCACATCCTCAAAGGACAAAAATCCCTTCAACGTAAACACAACTTAAAGAGACAGTTCACACAAAAATGAAAATTCAGTCATCATGTATGACTTACTTCTGTGGAACACACAAGATAATATTTTGAGAAATGTGTGTATATTTTTGTCCATACTATGGAAATCAACGGTAACCAAAACTGTTTGGTTACCAACATTCTTCAGAATTATATCTTCTTTTATGTTCCACTGAAGAAAAGAAAGTCACACAGATTGGAACAACACAAGACACAAGATGAGTAAATGATCACATCATTTTCATTTTTGGGTGAACCATCCTTTTATTACAGTGGAGACTGCAGCAACATCTCTACTTTTATTTTACTTTACTCTCAGAATTTATATTTATTTATTTTGCATTACTTATACAGTTTCAGAAAAAAAGTATAAAGCTAAAAAGTTCTACATATGTAGCCTTCTTTCTTTGCATGCACATTTGGGCGGCATTACGCAAATATTCACACATAGTGACCTAGATATGTGGGGGCGTCTTAGAACGAGCCGTTTTAGGGGGGTGTGGCAGAGTCTTAACTTTGATAAAGAATATCTCTTTGGTTTTGAGACTTTAGTCTTTGCAACTTCAGGGATCTTATCTATGCACAATCAGCTTGTAACACTCCAAAGAGAAAGGAAAACTTGAAATCGCATCATATGACCCCTTTAATTTCGAATAATTTTTTGACAGCCCTAATGTACACTTTAGGTACTAATATGTACTTTTAAGGTCCTAATATGTACCATTTTGGGGTAAATAAGGTACAAAGATGTAGCTTTAGCTTTTAGAGTAAAATTTTTTCTAACAGTGTATATTAGTAAACTTGTAAAATAATTGACAAATGTGCATCTCGAAATCTTGAGACAGATGTATACAAAAAACCTTGTGACGAAGAACTTAAAATTAGCCTCAGCAATATCTACTTCTGATTGGCCAATCATTGCACTCTGCTGTCAGTTATTTTTGTGTAATGACCACTAAACTTTATAAGTATAATTTATGTAGCCTATTTACTTGGTAAGTATGTAATTAGGGTGACACAAGATCCCTCCACTTCCTGATCACCTAAGCTGACTGTATATTATCCCTTATATACTGCGGTACTACGCAAAGTAACTATAGGATCTTATAGAAATCAATGCTATGGAAAGAAATAAAAAAAGATCATACATATTCTGTGTTATTTCAGTCTATTTGACTCTCAGTCCATGCAGGTTTAGTGAAGCCATATATAGCAATGTCAAGCACTGAGCAAATAGTACCAATCCACAGTAGCCGAAGATACGCCATACAAAGACATACATTAATCATTTATCATTCCATCATGCTGAAAAACCTCCTCACACTGAACATCAATTATTTCTGAACTGTTAAATTCACCATAAGCAAACAAATATTATTTAAATCAGATGCAAAGACAAAGATAGCATTGTAAAACATTAGCCACAGTAAATAAACAAACATCAGGCCAACACTGTACAAGTTACATTACAAAATGGCCTGAAGTCAAATTTAGGCTGTTTACTATTGAGAAATCTTTCTCAGCTGTGAATAGCCATTTTTACGTATTCGTCTTTGGTTACCCTTGCCGTAACGCGACCACTCACTCTGTCCATGCAAAACATGGGGCAAGAACACACACATGACCAGAAAAGTGTAAATGACTCCTCCTTCCTCCCTTTTCCCTCTTTCCGTACAGGGGGTCTTTCTACCCTGTGTCCAATCCCAGTGGTCTGCATGCACACACACGCATACACACACATACAGAGCCAACTTCCCCTTCAATGGGCCTCTCTACAGGGCTACAGTCAAGGCCTCACAGCTTCTGCCTAGAGTTACAGAAACTACACACAGGCACACACATTCCAGCCTCTGAAATGAGCACCACCACAATAACAACCTAAACATCACAATCCAGTTCCTTTAAACAAAAGGAACATATCATCAGTACAACCTACATAAAGGCAGACGTGTACAAGGGAAGTCCAGCATGACACAGACTCAGAATCAATCACGTTTAAGAACGTATTATACAGGTGCATGGGTATTCTGGACTATACTGAACATGTAAACATCCATTATAGGACGATATAGATTTTGCTATTGCCGTCCATACGGGAGCGCAGCAGAAAACAAATCTACGTCTTTTCAGTCATTTATCCTGCACTGATAAGACAAACAAATAACAAAAATGAAGAGAAATAGGGGAAAAAATAGAAATGTGTGCATATATGTTGCGTGTGTATGTATACATTAGTTCAAAAGTTTGTACGATTTATTAATGTTTTTGAAAGAAGCCTCTTATTCTCATCAAGGCTGAATTTATTTGAGCAAAAAATACAGGAAAAACAGTAATAATGTGAAAGGTATAACAATTTAAAAGAACTGTTTTCCATTTTAATATATTTTAAAATATAATTTATTCCTGTGGTGGCAAAGCTGAATTTTCAGCAGCCATTACTCCAGTCTTCAGTGTCACATGATTGGAGATCATGAAACACATTATCAATGTTTAAGCTTAATCTTTTTGTGAAAAAAAAAAAAAATCAGGATTACTTGATGAATAGAAAGTTCAAAAGAACAGTATTTATTTAAAATAAATATATTTTGTAAAATTAGAAAATGTCTTTACTGTCTCTTTTGGTTAATTTAATGCAGTCTTGCTTAATAAAGTATTTGTTTCTTTAAAAAAAAAAAAGGACTGACCCCAAACTTTCGAACAGTAGTGTACATACAAAAGACGTAAAAGGGAAAGTGGGTTTTGAAATCTTTCCAGGGTATCACGTCTAATCTTGTTACATGGTTGGCTATCTCATACTATTTCCACTCAAATTAGAAAATCGCAACCCTGAATTTGCACAATAGAGCATCGTTCCCAAAACAACCACTTCTACCAATTGCATTACAGCCACACAAACACATTATCTGATACAACTAGTCCTAGGCATTGCAAACCTATTAGCCATTCCAACGTGGGACAAGGGTAACCATTACATTGATTTTAAAGGTCTACCACCCAACATCAACCTAAACAACTAGAAAATAAGAGAATTAATATGACCAACCATTCACTTCTGACCATGCTTTGTCTGACATGCCCTAACTAGTTGTCCATTAGGAACGGTGGAAAAAAGTCCTAGCCCAGTTCAACCGACGTTAAACAAACTATGCAAACTACAACAGATTTTCAACATACCAACAGCACAATGGGCTTTCATGTCAGTCACACGCTCTCTCTCCTATATGACCCACAAGGGCATTATGTTAAACAATACTGATAAGGTTCAATTTACCTGATATAGGAGGGTATTACAGTTTACTAGGTTTTTAATAAAACATTTATAAAGTTTTACTTTCATCATCAGGTTTTAGAAAACAGATATAGGCCCCCATCAGGTAAAACACTTAATATGAACATTTTGCTCAGACCATAGGGTAATAAGGACGATAACGTTTATTATCACAACAGCAGAAGATTAACAAGTACAAGAAAACAAATTTAAAAATTTGTTTAAATGAAACAATATTTCTCACTTACAATGAAAAATTACAGACAAATAAGCAAATGCATAATAGATAATGTCTTTATGTATATTTACATATACACATATGTGAAAATATATTTATGAAAGTTTAATTACATTGTAACTATTGTAATGTATATTAACTAATGATCGATTAAACATGTAATTCCACAATGTTTGGTCATATTATCAAAGAAACCTGTTATAAAGTATTACCGCAAACACAACACATACATAAAAAACACGTATCCGATCTGAATCACTCGTACTGTACGTTTTATTATGAATTGGTTCAGTACATCTCTGATATTACAGTGTTTGGATAGAGAAGTCAGCTCAATATTGTCGCTGTGGCTGGATGATGTCGCAGTTGGAAATTACCGCAACAGATGAGCCGATACGCAGCTATACTATCAAACTCAATACCATTACACGCTTTTACATTGCTTTGAATATAATTAACTTAATGCTTAATTAGCACGAATATGCTGCTTTAAGTCATCCTTCAGAACTAGCTGTACTCGGAGGCATGCAAAGTTTGTGTAACTTGCCAAGGTCGGTGTTTAAATTACATTCAACCAGTGCAACGAGACAGATGCATCAAAGACACACAACGAATAAATAAACAGGTATTAAAGTGACAAACGCGTTTTAGCTCAGCATCTACCACACGAGCACTCTCTCTGGATCTCATGTGCCAGGTTAAAAAAAAAACAGTCACTTGAGTAGGTTACCTAACATTAGCAGACTAGCAGCTTTTGTTTTGAATTGCATTAGTGTGCGCACAAGGTTCACTTTGATAATAGTGTGCGTTAGAGTACACTGCTCGCTTCGTACCTGCGTGCAACTTTTCCGAACAAGAGAGATGTGACTTTTGCTGCTTCGCTCCAGCCCGTAACTTGTAAATCTTGTTTTCTTCACGCCGAGAACTTGGCGCCAGCTCACATGCTAGCACGCCGAGAAAACACGCCCACCGCCTCGGCAGCGCAGCCCCGCAGAGGGTCGCCTCGCTCCGCGTCCAGCCGCGCGGCAGCCCCGTAACTCGCGGTCGAGCCTCTGGAGGAGCTAGTCGACGAGATACTAACAAATCACGCTGGCTATTGCAGTTTTGCAATCCATCCCGTGCAGATTTAATCGCGAGTCTGTGGATTAACGAAAGACAAAAGAATACGACCAAAAAATATCGGTCGATTCTGAACGCACTTCCTCCGCGCCCTGTGGGAAATTCGCAGTTTCCGGGCACAAAACAAACTTTGAACCCACGCTGGTTAGGACTGTAAAAATGTTGTACTTGACCCTAACTAGATGGGACTCCGTGTAATTACGCCCCGCCCCGACTCTACCCTGTACAGCGGATTTTCCTCCAATAACGGATCAAAGACTGTGCTGTGAGCGTGCGTCTGCTGTTTTGGTTGGTGTGACATCCTCTGCCACGCGCGCACTGTTTGGACAGGTCAGTTGTTCGTAAAGCGCGTGGGGACAACTCCCACATTCCACAAGCAAGACACACTCACTCACACGAACCCCACTGCATTCACAGGCGAGCTGCTGCGCTGCGCGCGCACACTCATACTCACTCGCGCGCGAGGGGTGTGTCGTGACGTCAGAGGCACCAAAGAAGTAAACAGTTTGTCCGCATGAGGTCGAGCATTATATTCGTGTATAAACGGGGAGAAATGTGTGTCAGGCTCTTCATTCTGCATTGAAGAAACGCTTCATTTACTCATCCTGTTGTTGCAAGCATGTATGACTTTCTTTCTTCTCTGGAACACAAAAGAATGATAGCCTGTGCACTTTTCATTTTCATTGTATTTTAAAAAAAGAAAGAGGCAAGGCTATTCCCTAACATTCCCTCACACAGGGGTCGGAAAGGGTGCATAAATGATGAGAGATATGAAATTAATGAAATTTACTTTTGCATTTTACTGTTCCTTTAAGAAAAACATAAATTCAACACAAAACAATTTATGGCCCAGCCAATAACCTACTTAACCTAATAGCAGTAGGCGATTTCTGGTCTCTACAGTTACCGCAATAAGTCATGGAAATGTTCAGCCGTCTGTGAAGGCCAGTCTTTTTTTTTATATATAATATTTGGGTTTGTAAAGAGATGAGTTCATGTTTTACTTGGGTGTGTCTGCCTGAGTAGTATAGCAGAGGCTTCTGTTTCAGGCCTTGAAGGCTAGCTGTGTGTGTATGCATAAGAGAAAAATAACATACAAGTTTGATTGTGTTAGTCTGATCACATGGGGGAATTCAGCCCTGTGGCACGCAGTGGGAGAAGAAAGGTTCTGTGTAGTGTTTGTGCACAGGCATGTGAGCTGTAATGATTGATGGCGAATGTTGAGATAAAGGAAGAGAAATGTGATGGAGTGACATAGTGAAAGGAAGATCGTAGAGGCATGAACGGAAGTAAAAGATGCAGAGAGAGGGGCCTCTTATGGTTATCCATTGGCTGTTTCCGTCGTCCTCTCACAGGAACATATGGGCTATTGTCTGGAAATATAAAGGGGCACGTTTGGGGTACTAGTAAGCACGCTTTGTATGTCCATTTAAAACAGCACCGCAAAGAGAAAATAAAAGAGATACGGAATTGATACAGTGTCATTGTACTATTAACACAATAATACTGCACGTGAATCTATGATGTTTAATCTGGTCTTGTGACCTTCAGAAGATTCTGTTGTGGTGTTCTATAAAAGATCCCTCTCAAGATAGTCGTCTGCATTTGCTAAAGACTAAGATTATACCTCTTTCCATTTCCCACGTACAAAATGTTCTGACGGTTACAGTGATATAACAGGTCATAACCTCTCAGAGACTACAAAAAAGATCACTGTGGAATGTGCGTGGAACATAGAACGTTACTTCATTGTAGGGCAAAGGTCAAGGGCAGCCAGCGGGATTCTGTATGGAAACCAGATAAAACATAGCTTAAAACAATTGTGCTTTTTTTTAAAGCTATACACAATAAAACATGCTCAGCAATACATTTTTTAAACAGCAATAGTAGTACTACAGTGTTAATGCTTTGCTGTTGTGCAATATAAGGCTGTTTGGGGGATTCATATAGTAAGCATTTAGATTGATACAGTGTAAGCGTCAATTAAGAGTTGTGTAAAATTAGATTAAATTGGCTAGAATTTTTTTAGTCTGTTTACCCTTATTTAGTAATGAAAATATCTCATATTTTTTTAAGATTAGCCAAAAAGGGAAATAGGAGAAAACGCTCATCTTTTGTGCTACATATTTACTCGGAACGAAAATGTCACAACGTGTCATGGAGAAAAAAAACATGATTAACAGTGGAAAAAATTACCAAAATAAAGACGTTTTACAGACCGACCGACCATTTTTTGACTTGTAAATTCTTAAAGAATCCGCTATATTTGTTGCAGATGTTTTAGTCACGATTAAATGAATAAATTTAATCAGTAAACACCCTTGATTGTTTGTGCTCGGAAGTCATCTTTTGTACGGATTTGAGGCTAATAAAAGGAGCATAGCGTTTTGTAACAATCTGATGCGTCGGTTTCTCGGTAGAAAGGTATAAATAAGTAAATAATGCGATTAAACCCCTTTTCACTGTGTGTGCGTGCAACATTGCCTTCAGTCCGAGGAACTGACAGCACAAGAGACGAGCTGAAGTGAAACAGGTCCCGTCATGACTGTGCAAGCGGCTAAACATAACACAATATGATATGAAAAGACACATAGGTAGTATAAATAAATAAAATGAAAAAGCTAATACATTTCGACAAATATTAAAGTACGTAGGTTATTATTTATACAAAAGTTACAAAAAATAACTTATTGTTGGTTTGCTAGACCCTGCCATTGACTATAAGCTAACTAAGCTAACCAAGCATTATAAACTTAAATACTGTAAGGAAGCATCGCAAACTCAAGCTAAGTATGCATATACACGCGCAGTTTAATGGAAAGGACAGTTAACGTACAATATAACTACACACAATATTAAACAACAACATATTCGGTGAATATGTGTCGTTATGTCGCTCTTTCTGGCAGCGCGGTCCCATGGTGTAATGGTTAGCACTCTGGACTTTGAATCCAGCGATCCGAGTTCAAATCTCGGTGGGACCTCGACCTTTTGAAAATGTAGAAAAAGCTAAAGTAGTCGAAGAATAAAAACAAATGCAATGTAGTGTTGAATTAGGATAAATCATGAACGAGGTACCTCCGTGAAATGCTGTTAATTAAGCTTGTGTATGTTTACAAAACAAACAATTAGTGTCTTCAGGAAGCAGTGTGCTCATATTTCATTTATTGATGAGAAAGGGTGGGCTGATTTTGATATGCAATAGCTGGTAAAGTCATCAAAAAGTCATAAAGTCATCAAAATTTGTGACAGTAAAACAAACTCTACACATATCAGCACATTGAAAATAACCCCTCCACAATATAGTAGTTGATGCCTTGTAATGGTGATGGCCATATTTTGTTTGTATTTGTAAACATGGATATCAAAATATGAATGTGATGAAATAATTTTACTCCATCTATTTTACAGTGATTAATTGTAAAAACCATAGTAGTTGTTGTTTTTAAACTCTGTAGGCAAACTGCCAAACTTTTGTGACTTTATTCATCACAATAATTGCACAATAAAATATAAATATAATAAAATATACATTGTGCAGAGCACATGAAAGGTATATATTGATTACAATCTGCTGGTAACTAGGTGATAAATTGTATTAAGCATAATTAAATGGCTTAACTTAAAAGGTCAAGCTTATTGTAGGCCACACCTAAGCAAACTATGCTTAACTGGCAACAAGCAAAGACTAGCAGTGCTTTTCTTCAGTACTTAACATAAAGAGAATGAAGCATGACATGATTAACACATTTAGAACCTAAATAGACTTTAGGTTTTTACAGTTTAATTCAAGTAATCACAATGTTTTGGTGCGTGATCAGTGTATTACAATAATAGTTTACAATAACCTCAAGAGAAACATACCTCTGTCTGAGCACATTATAAATGCAAACCTTTATTAAATAACTGGAAATCAGATTTTTTTAAATTAAAATAAAAAAAAGAGTCTCTAGGCACTTCTGTTTGTCATATTTTTATTAATATTTTCTTTAAATACCAAAAGTATGAATTTAAAAATGCATCAGTTGCTAAAAATGTGACTTTGTTTCTTGTAAAGGCCATTTTGAATAGAAAACGAACAACCAAAACATTCTGACCATTTAACTAAAAAAACACACACAAACACAAAATCAATGAAAATAAAAAAGAGAACAACACAATAACAGCCATACAGCTTTGGCATCCTGAGTGGTAGAATTAAAAGGCCCATTTTCTCAACCAAAAATAAGTTTGAGCGTCGAAAACTTACTTTCATGTTATTTATCCATTAGATATACTTTACCAGGAAAATCCAGTTGTTTTTCTCATATATTTTATTTTTATTTAATAAAAGGCATTTAATTTGAAATCACTTCATAATGCACTCTGTTTCAACATGACCAAATCTCACTGATTTACACTAAATGTGAACATGACAGAAAAAAAGAGGAAGCCTGCATAATGAGTTGTCGTAAAAGTCAGTTTTGTTTATCCCAACGAGGAACACTTCTCTCATTCTGTATATAAACATAACACTGACAATATCCACCGCAATACCATCTTGTATGCTCTGTTTGGTTTTTCTCCATCTCTCCTATACTGTGTTCATTTTCGCAGCTGTTGAGGTCCCAGCATGACTTTATTGATGAAGTTCACAATGGCCGTGGCTGGCTGCTCTGGGTCCAGCTCTGCAAACAGGTGACACACGTTTCCCAAACCACCGCTGCGCCGTGCAACAAATCCAAACATCCTATAGAAAACAACTAGATATCAGAGACCATGGCAGATTGTTCATTGAACAACCCTTTTCTTCATTTGTTTAATATCACTGGCTTATTCTGAGTGGCATAAAAAAAAAGATATACACTTGTCTCACTCCTAAATTTACACATTTGGGAATAAACCTCCTGAAAGCACAAGAAATGCTACACTGAAAGAGAATATAGAGCTGTATAAGTAGAAGCACTTACTTGCAGGAAGTGTTATCAGCATCAATCCACCTGGCGCACACACACACACACACACACATACACAGAGGCTAAGCAACATGTACAAGCAGAGCAAGTGAGAGAGAAGCATAAAAGAGGGTAGGAGAGCCCTTGTGCAAAAAAATTTAATAATAATAATAATAATAATAGTACGCTGACAGTTCAAAGCAATACATGTTGTCTTGGCCATACATTAGAGATGCAGTATGTTGTAGATTGGAGTTGTATTTCCTAATGATTCCATCTTAAATCTTACCTTTGATCCAGTGGATCCACACTGCTGAAAGTCACACTATGAATAGGGTAATGTCGCCTGAAAAACAGTCTATATAAAGAAAAAAAAAAGAGAAAGAGATAAAGAGTGAGGTCTGTTTGTACTTTTCAGTGTCTCTGATTAATGTTTTGGATATGAGCCACACAGGCCTGTAGTTTACTTGAATGGCTAAAATAAGTAACTT